CGCCAATCTGCGCGCAGTCTGAGCTCAATTTGCTTACTGGGTAAGTAATATGATCAGGGTAAAAAACAACTATATTTTTATTTAAATTAACCGTTATTTCTCTAATTGAAGATTCGAGGGAAGAGAGAGAAATGCACTACGGGGGAGTCGGGATTGGATTCAAACTACGATACGCGCGCGGATGTCTTCGGCATATCACTCACATGAACTCGCGGACGGTCAGACCGGTTTGAGGGAACGAGGAAAGGACATGGTCTCACCAGGACTAACGCCAGGCACGCTATTTTCCATTTCAACTGAGCGTTCGATGTCATCTCGGAAGAGGCGCCAATTTCCCTGAGTTTTCACGAAACACGACCGACGACAACGACCTGCACTCCCACACTCGTCCTCCGAACTGGTGTCCGTGACTCGGAGAGCGACTCTATATCTGCGTTCCATCGGCCGCGACGAAACGACGAGAGAGTGAGTGAGTGAGTGAGGATTTATCGGCGCGGGACGATGGGACGGCAGGCGGTAAGTCACGACGTGGCGGAGGTGGTGGCGGAGGTGGACGAAGAGGCGAAGGTGGAAGAAGCGAGGTAAACGAGCCTGGATACTCAATTTCCCATAAACGCGATTGTGCACTTTTAATCACGAATCGCACACGGTCATTTCAATATCCTTCGTAATGGAAAAGATGCGGAGCAGGAAGAGAGTGTGCATTAAAACGCGGTACCGTGCAGAATTCAACTGATTCGGAAAGACTGAGATACCGCGGCCTTTTATCATTATTGTTGTGTGAGGCTATACGTTAAATTGAATTGTAAAGAACTCCTCTTCGCCTTTTCCGTGTGACGCTTCCTTGAAATTTATTCCTACATAAATTGTTTTACACTGAAGTCCCTGACGTGATATATTGGAGAATATTAAGATATCATAAAGACGTTTACGAGATTATGAAATGGCGTTATGAAATCATCAGCAAATCACATTTTATCTCCCGATAAAACGTCCAGTTTGCGCCAAAGAGCAATGTCGTACGAAATTATTTTATATTAAAGGAAATCCCAGATAGAACATAAAATCATTTTGATGCCAAGATGATATTATTTTGATACCATTGTCATGAAATTGTTATGAAAATGATATCGTTTGACGTCAAAGTGACATCAATTTTATATCATTTAACTTTTATATGATTTGTGTTCTACCTGGATGCTTGCAAAATTACACTGAAGACTGCCGGTTATACGCGTACATTTCACGTATATGCGATGCGTGTACAAATACAATTACGAAAAGTTGAATTATTTATACGCAGATTCTAACTCGTTCAATTTGCCCGCCAAAACTTTTGCGCTCCTTTACTTTCATAAAGAGTGCGGTCCAACAACCGCTTCAAATGCTGTACAGCGTTTCTCCCTCTTGTTCTATTCCCCCGGATTCGAGTAAAGAAAGAGAAAGAAGTAAAAACTCTACAAAGCATTTTCAGCGCCCGCTGGACCATATCTAAAGATAATGGGTGCTTTCCAGTTGCGTACACTATGTTATACAAAACCAGTTTATTGGTTGCATATTATCTTACAAGATATTTTAGATAATATATGACCAATAAACTGGTTTTGTGTACGTGTGTGTCAAGATGTGTTAAGTAATTGGAAAGCACCCAATAGTAGGTTTGTTTTTCGTTCCTGCACTGCTAAACTGGTGCAGTAAGTTAGAGCGAGAAAAACTATACTTGTCACACTCTAACTTATTGCACCAGTTCAGTAGTGCAGAAACAAACCCAGTGAGATGTTGCTATTAACTTAACTTGATGTGAAAAACAACAAGAAACTTCAAATTGCAAATTACTTCTTGAGTCACTTTATTATCATTTTTACCGAAGTTGAGTTTGAGTTGTGAAACTTGAAAATGAAAGAATGACCAATCGTTGATCTATGCCCTATATATATTCCTGAAAGACGTTATTAAACTCAGAGGGTAAAATAATAGTATACTAATAATATAGTAAAATAATAGTAAAATAATAATATAGTATAATAATGTTATATAGTATACTTTGTATACTTTGTTCATTGATCAGTACATATTATATAACTATAATACATATGTAATAATCTCATATTTATCGTAGAACAATATCTAACTTTCCGAGGAAAACTGGAAATCAGAGAATATGTCCTTTACCTTCTCCACCAGCAACAAAACTAGAAAAAGGAATATTTTCTGCACGTTCGTCTTGGATCTGCGGTCCGAAAACTGACTTTTCCTCAGGTATATGCTACTCTAATTTTAATTAATACATGTGATCAGTGCTTTTTTAGTAATTATTTCTTAACGTTTGTATATTATGTTTATGTTATTGTTTATTCCTTATCGTTTATTTACTTTTATAGAAAATATTATTTCTGATTCAGATAATTCGTCATGGATGAGTCCAACATCATCTGTAACTCCGTCCAAACTCCGAATCGAGGAACGATTGACCCTGCATCAGATGAAACTTCTTAATGAAATGGCTAGTTCTAGCGCGCCCTGTTTTGGACCCAATAATACGCCCAATAATGTGGTAGGATCCGGAATCGGTGTTGCAGGTGTGACAGAGTGTGTGGCGGTGGAAGTATTGTAGTCAATATTGTGTGTGTATGCAAGATTGTAGGCGTAGTGATTTATATAAAAGAACTTTATTATAATTGTTACTCGTGTGATTATTGAGTTCCCGAACTCTAGTAGTAATGTGTGTGACGGTCACGTACGTCACTGACGAGA